TCCCAAAGTATTTAACCAAGCTGCACCATCCCAAAGGTACTTTCACAAATGTCAATTTCCCAATCAGCAACTTCCAAAGTCTGTCTTAGCCGCAGTGCTTGGCCTCCTATCCCATCCTACCTGCAACACTCGGCCTCCTATCACATCCTAGCCGCGGCGCTCGCCCCCCCATACCCCATCCTAGTCATAGAGCTTGCCCCCACCCCCCTTGTGGCGCCTCAGAAGGTCTGACCTTACTTTATGGAAATTGCCACTTAGTAAATTGCACATTTTGAAAGTTCCCGCATTAAACATTGCACATTTGGGAAGTTGCTACTTGCAAAATTGTCACTTGGAAAGTCGCCCTTGGGAAAATACTGTTTGGGAAATGTACCTAAGAACCTTAGGGCCTAATATTAGTATTTTGGCGGGCTAATCAGAACCGTAATCATCATTGTTAAAAAACATTTATTAATAAGACGAGGAAATGTTTCTGGGGTTTCTACAAAATAGTTTTAGGATCGGAAAAGTCTGCCAAAGTTTTAGTTCACGGCCCTTCCCACCTAATTTGATTGAGCGCTTGTAGCGTGCAGTGTAAACACTTGTGTGCAGTATATATATGTAGGGATGGATAATTTTCATTTTTTTAAACGATCGTTATGTTAGGAAAACGAGGACGAAAAAAAACGAAAAATAAAAACGATAGTTTGTAAAAACGATCGTTAATTTTTTAAATCTTTATTTCTAAACAGTTTTGAAAATGATCAATGTTAAAAAAGACCGTTTTTAAAAAGTTTAAAAAGTTCGGATCGTTTCGTTAACAATCTTTAACAACAACCCTTTGATAACTATCATTAACGAAGACCCTTTGTTCACAACCGTTAACGACAAACCTACGTTAATGATCTTTAACATCGACCCTCTGTTAAAAATCGTTAACAAAGAGAGGAGGAGCTAGAGAGAAACCGACCTGAAGGGCATCGGTACTTATTATTAAGTAGTTTTAAAGAAAATATCAAGTTTAAGCTCCCCACAACTTTTTAGGGATGTATCCTCTACAATCCAAATGTACTGCCTGTATAGTGTATAAACCTGCATGTAAGACGACATTCATAATCGTCCTCAGAAATGTCGAAAAACTCATTTTTATTAATGACAATTTTTTTCAAAAAATTTCTAAACGAGTGGGTCGTTTTAAAAAATATGATCGTCTTTTCCCAAACTGAAACTATCGTTTTTGAAAACGAAAAAAAGATCGTTTTTTAAAAACGAGTAACAATCCTATATACATGTACTTAAAACGACAATTTTTGTCCGCCATGTGTTTCTGCTACGTGGAACCATGCAGAAACATAGAGAGCAGAGATACCTGGCGGCCAACTAATCATTGTTCAATTGAATCATGTATATAAAACAAATAAAGAATATTATGAGATATAATCTTTATATGAATGCGTCGAAAAAAAATCGATGATTATTGGTTGTAATATTTAAATGATTTATATGGAATTTAATTTATTTTTTGAGATCTGAGTCGAATGTTTCAACTTACTGAATTTGTATGGACGCTGTGTTCTTCGATATGAGTAGCTTTTAACAATTTTCTCTTTATAGACGCAACAAATATAGAATAGAATGTATAATTTGTAGAAATCACCATCGAATATTTTTCGACGTCTATACCCACTTTTATTTTTCGCGAACATTCCCTTTAAGCCTGTATGTGGTTGGATTTGAGAGCTTAGGTTAAGAATCCATCTTACTTACTTTTATATTCTCTTTCTCAGGGAAACCTTTCAAAATCTTTGCCTAGCCGGGTTCCATCTCTCAAGTTCTCAACCTTGCTCTTTCATCTTTACAGTTTTAAAGGATGCGTCCGCAATTTTACAAAGGAAATTTAAAATTTAAAAATAATCAAAGGAATTGAGTCTTTGCAAGAAATCCAAATTTTCTAATACCTATATATCTACAACCAAATTATGTAAACCTTTGATATTTCAAGCTTTTATTGTTTGATTTAACAGAAGTCATAGTTTGAAATATCTATGGTCTACAACATTGAGTTGTTAATATATAGGGATTTAAAAATCAGAGTTTGTGGCAAAAACTCAATTCCTTTAAAGGTGTTCCAATAAACTCACAATATGCATGATTTTGTTCAGATTTCGAAAATTCAGGTTTAATTTAAGAAATAAAAATCTGAACGAAATTTCTTATTACATCCAGTGATATTGACAGCACAAAAAAGGCAGGTCATATTTTGGAAATGTCAGATCTAGGGTTATTTTGTGGTTATTAAATTCAGAATTTCACTTTCACCCTACACAGGGCGAAGAAAAATTCAAAGATCTAAGACGCATTTAATTCATCTTTCTTATTTCAAGTTTTACGGAACACCCTGTATAAAAACATAAAATTGTCCAATACAAAGAAAGATTGTGATCCTTCAGCCAGCAGTACAGAGCTGATTTATGTTTGAACAAGATTTTAAGATGTTCTCTCATTTATAAATGTTTGCTGCTGCCAGCTATAAGAAGATCTTTCACTTCTGCAGATTAATTTATATGTCTTGTATACAATAGAAAGTACAGTATTCAGGGCGGAACTAATCAAAATTTTACTAAAACTGCAGTTTATAGTTTTTGATGCCTTTAAAAGCTGTAGAAATTATTGAGTCATCTATATCTACATTTTTATTGAGAAACCATTAGGGAGATTTCATCGATTTTGATCCATTTTCAGTACTTGTACAGTACTTGTACAGTAATTGTACAATACATGTACAGTACTTGGACAGTACTTGGACAGTACTTGTACAGTACTTGTAAAGTACTTGTACAGTACTTGTACAGTACTTGTACAGTACTTGTACAGTACTTGTACAGTACTTGTACAGTACCTGTAGAGTACTTGTTCAGTACTTGTACAGTACTTTTCCTTTTATATTTTGTCCTGCATACTTTACTAAATTCTTTCAATGCATAAATAAATATTAAGAAATCTATATCTGCAGAATATTTCTCTCAGAATCTGTATATTTAAAATCAAAAAAATCAAAAAAAATATTTTAATCAATTTGTATCAATTTTCAAGACTGGGACGACTTTTACCATACAAATCCACTTACATTTTGTTTAACCTTGAATATTTACATTTAAGATCTAAAAAGTTTTAACAGTAATAGTGTTTGCGTTTACGTGAGAGTTGGCAACTTTTGAATAACTGACATATATCCGAAACTCAATGAAAAATTGCATCAATATTAAAGACTTAGCCGCGTTTATTTTAGAAATATCCAGAACTTTTTATAGAACAAGATTTTTGGAAGCCTATGGCAAAATTCTCATCATGACGAACAAATATTTGATGTTAATTTTATTGTATTGTACAGGGTTACCCACAAAGCATAAGACTTCAGAGACGATTGTACGGACTTGTTTAGTCTGTTTTCTTGCATTAAGGGTTCCTTGTATGCTATAGAACTGGCTTGTTTCTGTGCTTAAATATTTAGTAAACCATCAAAATACTCATTGAATGCAAAAACAAAAAATCTAGCTTTAAATTGTCATATTTTTAGAGTTTTGGGTGGTTTTCACAGTCTCATCCTTTGTCCTTGTATGTACGGACAGGATAAAATCAAAAATTAAAATAAATCAAAAACCTATGATCAGCATCTTAAGCGATAATATCTTTCTCTGTTGTTCATAATCTCTTTATCAAAAAGACTAAAATGCTTTTTAAATTACAATAAATTGAATAAAATTATTTTAATTTCATTTTCTACGCAAGTAAGCACCTCCTCATTTCTCCAATATACCCAGTTCCCCTTTCAAGATGTTTCTCTACATGACCCCCCCTCCTCAACCCACTATAATTACCAATTATTATTCTTACCTCCATGTACATATTCAAACATGAAAATATTTCCCCTTCATATTAATGCATAATATGTTTTCACAGAAAAGTAAATATTTAACTAACATCAAAAATATCACCCTGATTGCAAGTGGCATGCATGGAGTTTTAACCGTTTTGGTTTACCTCTATTAAAAAAGTTTACGCCTTTCCGCGATGAATGAAAAACAAATGAATGGCCGAATAAAACGTTTCAAGAGAAAATAAAGGAGTTTAGGGCAAAAACTTTAATTACTTTTTGTAAAATTTGTAAAAAATAAAAAATACCCGACCAGCAGTAACTCAGGAACAATATTACCATCGTCATAAATAATTAGAAATCCCGTACAAGAGGAGATGCAATGTTTCTAATTAAAATAAAATTTGAGGAACGACATTAACGAAAGGTTGCAAAAAGTTCTAGAAAATACTAAGAAAAGGTGAATGTTTTGTTGATTATTTTCCGGGACAAAATTAAAGCCAGGAAAAAAAATGATTTTCTGAAAAATTATTGGAGTTCTTTTAAAATATCTCGAAATTTCAATTCTGCAATTTGTTTTTGGCTTTTTGTAACATCAGAAATTTTTTTGCATAAAATTTGATCTTAAAATCATAATTAATACTATCCTATAATAAATAAATCAACTAAATGACGGGTTTACAATCAATTTTATTTTTGGGAAAACATATGATAATGATAATAATTTATAATTTAATATTCTCTTACCAATGATAAAATTTTTATAATAACACACATATAAACAACATATATCCATGTATAGGCCCCAATATTAAATGTGTATTTTTTGTTTAATCTTTAACAACATAGTATATACAGGGATTTAATAACAAATTAATTTTGTGATTGAGATTTTTTCACACAAACAAAGTTAACTATTATACTGTAAGTGTGATTTTAAGCTAAATCCCCATACAAGAGTTTAATGTCCGATTCACAACGGTTCTCTTCACACCAATATCTGACCCCAGACAATGGTTTAGAGGGTACCGATGTGAATCTAACATGACACTCTAAAAAGGAAGGGGTTGATTAAAATTACGTCTACAGTTCCTTTAATTAACACAATTAGACCAAATCACTTTTAACGATTTCCTATTTTTGGCAATTTTTCTTTTTTTCAATAGAAATCTGTAAATTTTGATTGACTCAAGACTCAAGCAACAAGAGCCAGCATCTTGCAGATTTATATATTTACTTTCGATATTTGAACATTTGTCATTTTTAACAAACATGATATATTTATACTTTTTTTCTGAATATTTAAATTTTTTTTTTATGATCAAAACAATACTTGTTTAATACATGAAGCCCCGCTGAAGAACCCTGGCCTGTAAAAAAAAACATCTTTTAAAAATTAAGAATAATCGCACCTCTTACGACAAAGCACCGACCTTGAAACATTCATTCTGATATTCATCTCAAACATTCATTCTGATATTCATCCCAAACATTCATTCTGATATTCATCTTAAACATTCATTCTGATATTCATCCTAAACATTCATTCTGATATTCATCCTAAACATTCATTCTGATATTCATCCTAAACAACATTCATTCTGATATTCATCCTAAACATACATTCTGATATTCATCCTAAACATTCATTCTGATATTCATCTTGAACATTCATTCAGATATTCATCTTAAACATTCATTCTGATATTCATCCTAAACATTCATTCTGATATTCACCTTAAACATACATTCGTGATCATATTGATTGGGTGAAAGTAAATTCATTATTAAAGTTAAAGGGACTGCTAACATAATCTTTTTTGAACTTATTTTAATATGATTCCCGAAATAACCCTTAAAAACACCTGTAATTTTAATATTAATAATTACAGGGAACGCTTTTAAATGTTGATAATCACGCTAACAGTCCCTTTAAGAACTAGGTTTGATTCAAAACATTAATGCAATTTTTAAATATGTGACAGAAATGTTTGCCGTTTAAAAATACTGAAAAATAATTTAATACAAAAATTACAATGTTCTTTTTCATGGGTTTGTTGTGATTCTATCCGAGAGAGTTCTGACACATTTAGGAAATCGATGAAATTTGAATAGTTCGCTGGTTCCAAAATATTGCCGCGTAAAAAAGACGACATTTTTCAATCCAGATTTCCTATGTTTGTCGAAACTCCCTGTGTACAATGTGTAAAACATAAATAAAAATTTCATAAAAAAACTTCATCATATTTCTACATATATAATTTACAAATTTACAATTTACAAAAACATATACATTTATATGTTTAATGATATATTTGAACATATGTTGTAGCCATAATAATAACAAAATTTTTCTCAAAAATTAAATATTTTGAAAATGCTTTTAAATTTTCTACAACAGTTAATTAATACAAAATGGTATTTTCTTTTTTTTCTGTTCATGTAATGGTGTAAGCTTCTTCAAAATACAAACTTTAATATTTTAGGAAGAAATCATTTTCTATTTGATTATTAATAAAAATAACTTTTGAAAAGTATTGCTTTTTAGGAAATTCTTGCAAAATTGGTATAACATGAAACATTTTAATATAAAACAGAAAAATTGATAAATATAAAGATTCTATATTTCAACACCCCCCCCCCTCTTCTTCTTCCGTTCCTTCCTATAAACAGTGGGACTCAAAAAACTTTGGAATAGTAAGAAGGCATTTTGACAATTTGATGTGTATTTGATTTTTAATAAAGCAAAGCGTTTATCAGCAGCTTTTCAAGTGTTTGCTGTGTTTCATGTTTATAATGAATAATATCTAAAGACTAATTGACTACCACTCGTCTTTCTATTCCACAGTGTTATGGGTCCCACTCCCAAGGAAGTATATTCGGTTAAAAGTTGAATTAATCTATTTAAAAGTTCATGTTCTTAAGTTTACCAATCCCTTGGAAGCTCCATTCAAAAATCAACTTTTGCCACTTAGTCCAATTAATAAGTCTAGTGTGTTGAGAATGCTTGATGCTTTTGATCTATTTTATCACAGGTTGTTCTGTAGAGAAGAGAAGAAGAAGAAGGAGAAGGAGGAGAAGGTTCGATTGATTTAGATTCGGAGCAAAGCTAACCTAAACCCAACCAACACATTTGTCATTCAATTCATGCTATTTTATCAAGGGACTGAGCACAAAATTTCAAGGGTACACTCGGTTTAAAAAAAGCTTTATTTTTCCGATTCACAAGAGTACCCTTTAGCTCTTGAGATTAACAATGAGGAATATGTAGTAGCGTATTTTCTCTGAAAAAATATTATTTCTCTAAATGTGTTCCTTTCATAAAGAGTTCTGATGGAAAATAATAAATTTTTCTAAATAAATAAATGATAAATGATAAATAAATAAATAAATGATAAATGATAACTTAATTATTTTTGTTCAACCAAAGGTTAGACGGGTTCCATAGTGAACCGACGTGTAAATCTAAGAATAGAGAGTTGATTGGAATTACGCCGATTGGATTTTACCAGAGCTGAAAAGTTTAGAATTGGATATCCTTATTCCAGAGCTGAAAACTTTAGAATTGGATATCCTTAATCCCGATCGGTTAATTAATCTGGAGATTAATGACAAAAGGAGAACAAGCGTTATTTAATCTGGAGATTAGGAAAAAGAGGAGATCAAGCATTAATCTCGATATCCACCATTCAAAAGTTCCCAGCTCGGGTTCTTTAAGAATATTTTGAATGTATACAAGTCAGTTTGATAGAATAAGTTCATGTAAATCTACTTAAAATTTATTTTGGCTACACAAAAGTATTAAAGAAATAAGAATTATTCCATAACGTATGATAAATAAATATACATATTTTATACATTGGTTGTCTGGGTGTCTGTCTCAAATAAACGTCAAAACGGCTGAACCGATCGAGCACTAAATTTTTGAGAAAACTCACAAGACCTGCAGGGAAGGTTTATGGATGGTTAGAATTTAAAAAATTTGCTTAAAACATTCGATTTTTTTATTTGCGAAAAAAATGGATAAAAATGCAATTATTAATATTTGAAATCGAAGATGGGCATGATGCGCTCTGAAAGCCTAGTATATATATATATTGTAGTATGTTATTAAATTTACACATGTACAATGTACATACAATGAAAAAACACTTAACACACAAGTGAGGAAGATTGAAACCTGCTCTGTCAGCTTTTATATTACAATACTTGCAAGAGAGCATTTTTTACTTTATTCCATTTAATATTTTGTTGTCTATGCGTTTCTCAATTCATTCAATACCTCTACATTAATATTTTTCAATTCCTTTAAAATCTTCACATCAAAATTGTTTTTCAATTTACTTTTATTTTGGTTATTTTAACTTCAGTGATAAAAACTTAAAGTGAATGTAAGCTTAATTTCCAGTGCCCCTCAGTGCAACGATGACAATGTCCCATTCACACCGGTACCCTTGTAACCATTTATCTGATGAATGATGCGAAAGATGTTGTCGTTTTTTTGTTTTTAAAATGTATAGTTCTGATAATTCTTATACGTCGCTTTTAAAGGGAATCAACAATGGCAAATAATTAGTTTTCTAAATGTTAAAATTGATATCTAAATCATACTTGCTCAGCAAATTCTTTTAAGAGCACCGTTGTAAATCGTGCATTGACATATTTGCATACAGGGTCACTTGAAGTTACGATTACACGAAAAGAAAATATGTCTTTCCGTACTCTTGGTTTCTTTACGCAAAAATGATTTTATACATATGGTATGGTTTTAGAATTATGAAGAGTAAGCGAATACTTGCCTCAAACTCTATTATAATACTTATATCTTTGCAACCCGACTCGTGGCCCTCGGATTTTTCTCATTATAATTCTGCTGCATCTCATAGCCTCATTTTTCAACATCAAAGGTTTATACCATTAGGTTGCAAATATATATGGATAAAAAAGTTGAGTTTGAGGTAACGCGTTTTGTTTCTTTTAATAGTTTTACAACCTACTAGACATGGTTTTTTCAACGAGAAAGAAAAAAAACATATTTACGGGGAAAATGGAAAATATTTATTTGATCTTATTTTTCTGGTCTGGTGGAAATATAATATATAATAAGAATAAATAAGTATGGATAAGAGCAATGATCCCCCCCTCTTAAACACTACTCTCTGTATAAAAAAGTTAAAGATAATATAAATTTCATCCAATTTTCTTTTCTTGAAAAACGCATCTTAATCTTAATTGAATGATAATAATAACTTAATAATATATGTTGTCTAGTATAATTTAATGTGGTTCTTTAAAAAAAAGAAGGATGTGAGTAATGCATCAGCATTTTATCTTTATTTGTTTTTAAAAGTTTGCAAAATTTGGTTTTTAAATGTATCATGAGACATAGCATTTGTGCTAACCTACTTGCCATGTATATACCCGCACTGATTCGCAATGTGCGTCAGCTAGAAGGTTATATCAGGTAGATTCCCTTTATTAACTCTTTGCACACTCTTAGAAACATTGTTTAAATACAGATCTTAAACCAGTCTCCTGGTAGTTGCAATGCAATATGAGGTATACCAGATCTAGAATTCTAGATAGAGACAAGAATTGACAATTTTGTTTTAATAACTATCAAGAATGACTAAATTTCAATAGTTTATTTTAAAGGCGCGATTGTAATGTAAATAGTCGTTGGATAATGATAGCTGCAGACCAGTATTAAACTGAAAATGTTTTTTTATCGTTTAATTAACTAGAAAAGGGACTGATTACGCGCATTAAACTCTAGAAAACAAACTGATTACGCGCATTAAACTCTAGAAAGGGAACTGATTACGCGCATTAAACTCTAGAAAAGGAACTGATTACGCACATTACACTCTTGAAAAGGAACTATTTACACACATTAAACTCTAGAAAAGGAACTGATTACGCGCATTAAACTCTAAAAAAGAAACTGATTACGGGCATTAAACTCACATTTATTAATCCTAATTTATTTGTATTAGATACTAAGAATTCTGCTTGATCAAATTAAAAAGTTAAATTTTAAAATATATAAGGTTTATAATATAAAGATAAAGAAATGAAAAAATCTGAATTTGAGTCGAGCCCCCATTCCATTGTTCAACACTTTATGTTTACATTTATAAAATGTATGTATATTTATTTTGACATGAAAAGTTTATGTAGAAAATGTTCGTGTTGTAAAACTTGAGTTGTACGTAACTTCACCGCGTTGTATTGTGCTGAAATATATAATAAATCTATCTGACAGTACTCACTGCTCATTATTCAATCCAGTCTTTCTCAAAGAGGATTTACAATATGGAGTACTTCGGAGGAAAAGGGCGCCAAACTATAATCTTTCATGTTTTCAATCAAAACTCCTCTCATTAAAGAGGAGGGAAAAATTGGATTCCTAAGTTGTATTGGGATAAATCCTTTTGCTCATTAGTGTGCGTAAAATAAAAAATCGAGGAGCCACGAGGTCGCCTTCTGTCTGGTTTGCAAAGGAAGAGGAGGAAAGGGATTTTAGAAAAATTATCAAAAAATGGTAATATGAGAGAACCCCTGTACCCCTTCCATCGTTAAGGTTAACAATTGAGGTGTTATAAAAGCGCAAAAGTAGAAAAGTGTAATGTTTAAATTTTAAATTCAATTTGAGAAGTCATTGACACTCCTATTTGTTTACTCTCCATATTCTCCCTAACTTCTTAATCGAGTGTTTTCTCCTCTGAATTCAAACAATACACATGAGAGGCCATTTCTACAGTTAGACCAGGTTTAATTGTCACAACCAATACGATTACTTAGTGAACATACAATTCTACAGTTAGACCAGGTTCAATAGCAACAAACAATACAATTACTTAGTTAACATACAATTCTACAGTTAGACCAGGTTTAAGAGTCACAAACAATACAATTACTTTGTGAACATACAATTCTACAGTTAGCCCATGTTTAATAGTAACGACCAATAAAATTACTTAGTGGACATACAATTCTACAGTTAGACCAGGTTTTATAGTCACAAACAATACAATCACTTAGTGAACATACAAGTCTACAGTTAGACCTGGTTTCATTGCCACCAACAATAAAATTTTGAAGTGCAGATTTAACAGCAACAAACAATACATTTTTGCAGTTATACCAGGTTTCATTGCCCCAACAATACAGTTTTGGAGTTAGAGCAGGTTTTACAGCAACAAACAATACAATTTTGCAGTTTGCAGTTTGTCAAGGTTTTGTCTAAAGGTAAGTCCCTTTTTATGATTTAATAACCTCGGTAGTTACAATGTTAAAATATAAAGTTTAACCAAGCTGGCTATTTACCAAAGTGTTAAATAATTAATAAACTCTGTTCGAGAAGCTAAAGACAGGGTGTCCAAAAAAATGTGTACTTTTTAATTTCAAGATTTTCTTTAAGCCCTATAATTTGGATGGAAAATGTGAATTAATAAATTGAAATTCTTAAAACCGCTTGAATTTTTTTAAGGAAAAATGGTCCTATTTTTGTTTTTTAGATAAAAATTGAAAGGGACCCTCAAAAAAAGGATTTACAAAAATGTTAAATTAAACAAGATTTTTATACACCCTGTAGCATGCCAAACTTTATACTAAGGCGAAAACTTAATTAGCTTTCATTATTTTTAAAACAGAAAAGACGTCATTTATCCATTAGTGCTTTATTCATCTAGTGATAAATTATTTATTTAAATAATTATTCAATTAATATATTAAAATTGCAAGCATGCTAATAAATTAAATTAATCTATTAATCTTTTAATCTATTAATCTATTAATCTATTAATCTATTAATCTACTATTCTATTAATCTATTATTCTATTAATCTATTATTCTATTAATCTATTAATCTAATAATCTATTCATGCTTGCAGTACTGTAAAGATCTCGTATCTATTTTTGCAGTACTGTAAAGATCTCGTATCTATTTTGCAGTACTGTAAAGATCTCGGATCTATTTTTGCAGTACTGTAAAGATCTCTTATCTATTTTTGCGGTACTGTAAAGATCTCGTATCTATTTTTGAAGTACTGTAAAGATATCGTATCTATTTTTTTAGTAATGTGAAGATCTCGTATCTATTTTTTCAGTACCGTAAAGAATATTCTGAAGAAATATCTGATTTATTTAGATGTTAATGCACTTGAACGTCTAGACTCTAGTTCCCCTTGTCTTGTTGTAAAATAAAACTGCATATTTTGCTTTTTTGTCGAATATAGAATTTAAATTCTGGTAGTTTCCAGCAGTAGTGGACCAGCATATCTGGTATCTACTATCTAGGGTGTTAAACTTTAAACTAAATGGAATTTTTTTTATAGTTTTAAACCGGACACTGGTTATATTATACAGTACAGGATACAGGATATAAAATACAAGATAAAGGATACAGGATACAGCACACAGGATACCGAATGCAGGATACAGAGTAAAGAGTAAAGGATAAGATATGGAATACAAGATACAGGGTAAAGGATATAAGATACAGGATAAAAGATACAGAGTAAAGTATACAAAATACAGGATACATATTACAGGATCCAGAACACAGGAAACAGAGAACAAAACACAGAGTACAGGATACAGGGTCTAGATTACAGGATTCATGAAACAGGGTACAGAACACAGGATAGAGAGTACCTGATACAGGATACAGGATACACGATACCAGATACAGGATACAGGGTACAGGGTACAGGATACAGGATACAGGATACAGGATACCGGATACAGGGTACAGGATATAGGATACAGGATACCGGATAATGGATGCAGGGTACAGGATACAGGATACAGGATACAGGGTACAGGATACAGGGTACAGGATACAGGGTACAGGATACAGGATACAGGGTACAGGATACAGAGTACAGGATACAAGATACAGGGTACAGGGTACAGGATACAGGATACAGGGGGTACAGGATACAGGGTATAGGGTACAGGATACCGGATACAGGATACCGGATACCGGATGCTGGATACAGGATACAGGACACCGGAAAAAATAACATTGCATATATGACACAGTAAGTTATAGTTTAGCACACCTGATTTTTTATAAAATCGATTTTGTCAACAAAGGCAATTAAACCCCATTTTATAAATTGTGTTGGTTGCCTCGAGATACGCTGAACTGACAGTTTCTCCCATTATATTTCCAGCAATACACGTGTAGAACCCTTCATCCATATCACTGAAATATATAAACACGTGTAGAACCCTTCATTCATATCCCTGAAATATATAAACACGTGTAGAACCCTTCATCCATATCACTGAAATATATAAACACGTGTAGAACCCTTCATTCATATCACTGAAATATATAAACAAAAATCATTATAAAAATTATTTTAGGAAGATTGAAAAATGTGTAAAAAAAAAATCAATCATTTTTAGTTAATAAATATGGCACCATTCATAGAAATTAGTCGGATTAACATGATGATAAGAAAAAAAATTATATTAGTTTTCTTAGAATCATAATAATACTTTTGTCACGTATATTTCATTTTCATTTCCATCCTAACTCTAAATAGAAGCAACATAAACAAAAACTTGTTCTGAAAGCTTAGAATAGTTTTAAAAATTTCGGTTCTGCTTAAAAAAGGTTATACATTTTACTGTTAAGAAATAATTCTCAAAGATATTCAAAAAAAAGTAAGGTATAGAGAGATTAAAGGGGACAGGGGAGAGTTTTAGATAAGGAGAGAGGAAAGGAAAGGGGAAAAGAATTTTATAAAGAAAAAAGGGAAGGGAAAGGGAAAAAAATGGAGAGTGAAAGGATTTAAGTATGAAAAGGGAAGAGCATGAGGGGAGAAGAATTTTTAAAAACGGGGGGAAAGGTAAGGGAAGAAATGAAAAGGAAGAAATGGAGGGGAAGGGGGAAAGGAAGGGGATGGGGAAAATAAATAGGGAAGGTGGAAGGAGGAGGGGATGGGGTAAAGGATTTGAGAAGGAGAAGGGGAGAAACAGGACAGAAAGATCTCAGAGGAAAGGGGAATAACGGGGATAACAAGATAGTAAACTTGTATATCTGAAGGGAGGGGGGGGGATAAAATAATAAACCACATACCTGACATCAACAATACGAAACTGATATGGATTTCCATGTGTCCGAGCAGTCTAAAATATCAAGGTTTAAAAATATATTCATAAAAACAAAAACAAAAAATTGAAGCTAAAGTAAGTTGGGAACTGTTTAATGGATGGAATTAGTTAAACTTCTTCTTTTTAGCTGAGAGATTAACTAATCCCATCTAGTTTAAATTTGACCCACAATGCAAAACTGGCAATGCCCGATTTACAACGGTACCTTTAACTCTTTGCATAATCAATAATAATGTATGAATTATTTTCAATTGTGGTTTCGCTACAAAAGTGACTTGCTCATTTCTATATAAAAATTATCAGAATTAAACACGTTTAAACCTGGAAAAACGACAATATCTTCCATAGTTTTGATGAGATAAAGGTTTCAAGGGTACTGTTGTGGATCGGAGCCATCTTTGCATAGAGGGTCACAATGATAGGAATTAATAAATAGTAAAAAGAAGGTATAGAGGGTGTTCTAAATATATTTAATCAAGTTAATATTCACAATGTATATCAATGGTCTATATATATATATATATTTATTATTATTATTATTAATCTACATTCTGCAAGTATTTGTCTTACCCTTAGAAGCCGCATTGTACCATTGTTCATCTCGTGATACCATTGTATGTAGGATACAAGGCATTTCATGTCAACTGTACACCGGAAACTGAACATAAATAATGTCAACTGTACACCGGAAACTGAACATAAATACTGTACAGTGTACATGTCAACTGTACACCGGAAACTGAACATTAATACTGTACAGTGTACATGGCAACTGTACACCGGAAACTAAACATAAATACTGTACAGTGTACATGTCAATTGTACACTGGAAACTGAACATAAATACCGTACAGTGTACATGTCAACTGTACACCGGAAACTGAACATAAATACTGTACACTGTACATGTCAATTGTACACCGGAAACTAAACATAAATACTGTACAGTGTACATGTCAATTGTACACTGGAAACTGAACATAAATACTGTACAGTGTACATGTCAATTGTACACTGGAAACTGAACATAAATACTGTACAGTGTACATGTCAACTGTACACCGGAAACTAAACATAAATACTGTACAGTGTACATGGCAATTGTACACCGTAAACTAAACATAAATACTGTACAGTGTACATGTCAACTGTACACCGGAAACTGAACATAAATACTGTACACTAAATAAATCATCCCTTTCTAGTTAAATTACCATGTAAAGTGTACGAATAAATGTACAATTATGTAAAAAATAACCCGACAAATAAAAAATGTAGAATAGTGGAAAAAATCCAATTTGCGAAAAAAGGTGAAATTTCTTGGATCAATCTTTTGTAGTATTTCATAGTATTGGGAACATAAATAAAACAGGATAGACTACACTTCATGTTTATTGATTCTTCGACTAGGGTAAACCAACTTTCTAGGGAACATCTCAATTGTTTAAAACAGAATTTACAATACAAAAATTGAGATCCCTGAAAACTATGTCTTCAGCTAAGCTGTCAAATTTTTTAAGAAAACATTGTCAGAGAAAAATTTCAAACTTGTGAAAATCGAAATAACGTTCTTTAAGAAAAATTCAATTAAAATTTTAAAATAGTGCCATTTTTTCAAATTTACAAAAGAAAGTTTTGCGTTTTCCTACTTTACTCTGAAAACCAGAACAATAACAATAAACATTGAATTTCAATATATCTCTGATTAAATAGAATACACCTTGGGGAAAATCACATAGGGGGAGAGGTGTACTGATCAAATGAACAGGGTGGGGGGATAAGATGGGGGAAAAAAAACAAGGGGATAAAAGGGAATTAGGAATAACTGGTGATGAAAATGCAAAATCAAGAAATAGAAGGGAAATTGTGGGAAAAATAATGGGAAAATAGTATACAAAAGAGGAAATCAGCAAAAACAAGTGGAAAACAGGAAAAAAACAAGAAAGAAATAGCAAAGCAAATTCGAAAAGTAAAATTTAAAAATGAAAATTCTAAATTTATTCAATGAAATGAACTTACATCCTCTGCCTTTAAGGCCAGGAGGCTTAATTCAAAATTCGTTTTTTTATTATAGATTTGTCAAATTTATGCTGGGTTGTAAAGTATGAAATATGTTCATTTTATGATATTTTAGTTTAGTCGTCTTCAGATTTAAATTTGTTTAAAAAAATATTTAATAACTATAAATCTCGATGTTTATAAACATTACTTTGACTAATATTGAACTGCATATTTAAAAACATTTGGAAACAAAAAGGGGAAATTATAATTAGTTCTCTAAAATTGTATATATCCTGCTTATTTCCTGTATAACCTGGATAAATATGAGATACAGAGACACCTGTGGACATTATTTGAACTATAAACCTCGAAGTTGTATTCCAACCTACCTAGCTGTGTCCCCAGGTTTAAGAGTTAGATTCTGCATCACATTGTTTATCTCCGGCCTGCCGCACGTTTTCACTAAATACACAATAATATAAATCAGACATTCCGCGCAGTGCATGAAATTTCCAGGCAATTTAATTGAGTTTAACTTCGTTTTAGATGCAAAATTGTATCATTATCTTTCCAAAGGAAAAAAAAATCGTAAAATTTAAGAACTTTAGATTTAATTTCAATTGATCCTCCACTTGTAGTGTGGCATATATGATTTACAACGGTACCTAGGTTGGTCTGATCAAGGTCTCAAGGATGATGAAACAGAAAATTTGTAATTTATAATTTAAAATTGTTTGTAAGTTGTATGGAAACTATTTTATATTTTTTAATTATCATGACTTTTTTTGTTAAGTCACAGAAAAATCTGGATTCGAAAATATGTGACGTCATTCACATTTAGAGTTCACACTGTACACTAGTGTACGTTAGTGTACACTAGTATACGCTAGACATCCCAGCTGCCAACACTATATTTTCAGTGAGGAGAAGGATTTCTTCGTCTTCGATGATCAGACAAAAGGTTTAAAGGGTACCTATTGTGAATCGGACATTCCACTCAGTAATAGCGCAAGGTCAATTGAAATTACGCCGATCAGTCTCTTATTATTATGTTTTAGTTTTATATTTCATGTATTTACATTGTATTCAATGTTCAGTAAAAGAAAAAGAAAAGTTGAACTCTGGAAAATGTATTGTCTTGTGCAGAGACCAACATGAGGTTGTAAATCTTAAAGTTTAAGCAACCTCGAATAGAAAGTAAATAGTAAAGAATATGTCTTCTTTTAATTTAATACCAGGCAACCCTAGAACTTTTAGAAACCCGAGACTTTTGTGTTGGAGACCCATAATCCAGATCACTTGATCTCGATATCCAAGATGTAGAACCTTGATCTCTTGAGTTTGGATATCCACAATTTCTCTATTTTCTCAATAGCTTACTGTTTGGCTGGTCGTTTTTTATTTCATTAACAACACTTTTTTGCGGTGTATCGAACAAAGATTAAATTAGTCTGTAGATTAACTAAAGATCAAGATCAAAGCTGAACAGCTTACCCTTTAAACCGTTGACTGATCAAGAATTACTTATTTCTCAACAGAAATGCTTGTAATTGTTGATAACTTGTTATGCAAGCCTTTGAATGTTTATAGATTCCAGAAGTCGCAAGTAATAAATAATTACGTTTTGAATTGTTAACAACCGCGTTGGACAGTAAATCCCAGATATATGAATACATAGCGAGAGTTTTTATTCTCCACATATTTAAGATCAAATGCTGCGGAGAAACGAGTTTACTATATCAATTGCAGTCCTTCCTATTTCAGGGCTATTAATTTACCTTGAATTAAAAATAAAAAGCAGTTTCTTAAGAAATATTATAAAACTCAAGACTCTACGATGATATTTGGATATATTCTCACAAATCATATTCAACTCTTTGAAGCTACGAACATCTCAGAAGCCATATTTTTGTGCAGACAGATGTCATAAATTTTAAATAAATTTCAAGACGACATTTCATGTGCTTTTGCTATGTATTCTTATATGTGAGATTTGCTGTGCATAAAATCAGTGTTTTGAATACCATTTTAAAAATAAAAACACTGAGTTCTCTGCCGGCGATGATCAGTTAAAGGTTTAAAGGGTAGGGTTGTAAATTAGGTGTTATCTCTATTTGCAAGGACTATCACTTGAAACTACACGTACAGTCCCTTTAAGGGTTGCCATTACGAATTAAAGTTAAAAGTTTGACATTTACTTTACCAGATTTGTCTCATGTTTCATTTTTAATTTTAATATTAAAGATTAAATACTAAAGGGTGGATGCAAAGCATCGTTAGACAGTTTTTTGAAAACGGTGCATAACAATTCCCAAAGAAAAATTTCTCTGTCCAAATTCTTTAGATCAATTTTTCTTGAGCGACCTTTTCCCAAAAGGCCCAAAGTGATTGAAATTTCATGAAGGACAAAACATTGTTGGGAATTAGCTAAATTCTTCCGTGATTATTCAGGTAATGTCTAACAAAAATTAATTTCCGATGTTTGTACGATTAAAAAATATTTTTCGAAACATTTTTTAGTAAAAATAATAATAAAAGTTTCCTTTCAACACTGTCTTAAATATGGTGAGGAAACAACTTTGCATGCAAACTTGGACCAAACTTGGACCAAAATTGGACCAAATTTGGACCAAACTTGGACCAAACTGGGACCAAATTTGGACCTAACCTGGGCCTAACTTGGACCATACTTGGACCATACTTGGACCACACTTGGGCCAAACTTGGACTAAACTTGGACCAAATTTGGACCAAACTTGGACCAAACTTGGACCAAACTTGGACCAAACTTGGACCAAACTTGGACCAAACTTGGACCAAATTTGGACTAAACTTTTACCAAAGTCAAAACAAAAAGGAAAATACTTATCTTTACAATAATGTGTAAGTATTATTAAGGGTTCGTAGATTAGCGGGATTAAATTTATTAACTTTAAATGTGTTTAACTTAAAATTAATTCAAATTCAAATTTTTATCTTTGAATATTCATGAAGAAATTTGAACTAGTTTAACAGATAACTTGATAGGGTCAGGGGACTCAGGAATATAGAACAAGCTTCTTGCAGAATTCAGAAAGATTTAGAAAACATGAAGATTCAAAGACGACTTACGGAAGGTTTGGGGTTACATCGAAGTTATGTCGTATTTACATATTTATTTACAATTACATGAATTTAACCAATTCCCCCCCCCCCTCTCCCTTTATAAGTTGTTTGGGAATTACAAAAGTATTTTATTTTATTTAACTGAAGTATACCCATATACCACTATTTTTTCCCGCGCGCTATTTCATACATATTTTGCGAGTTTTCCAGTCGATTAAATAGTTTAATATTTTGGAGCTGAGTGTGCAGTGTGCATACTGCATAGAGAACGCAATAGCTTGAAAATCTTCCAGTTGCTTAACTTCAATATTTTATCAAACACCAAAACTCTCAAAGAAAGAATATTTTCAAAGACATTAGACATTTGTTCATTCACTGGTTGACAGATCATAAAGATCTTGGGTTTCTTTTCTCTTTATCATTTTTCAGTCTTTTATTCTTATTTCTTAACGTGCATAGATAAGAAATAAGAATAAAATTTAAAAAATTAAAGTTTTCTCAAAAGTGATTAATGTTACCCCCCCCCCCTCCCCAAACTTTACTCTTCATAAGTTGAGAATCAGGATACAATAATAACTGAATACAAGCCATCTGATAAAAACCTTTAGTATCTATTTAATGATAAACAAGTTGATTTTGGAGTTTCTTTGCATCCCTATTTTGTTAATTTTGAAGTTTTGTTACATCCCTATCTTGTTAATTTTGAAGTTTCGTTACATCGCTATCTTGTTATTTTTGAAGTTTCGTTGCATCCCTTTCCTGTTATTTTTGAAGTTTCGTTACATCCCTATCTTGTTATAAATGGAAGGACATTAACTATACAAATCTGGTAAATAAACTGACTTAACCTACTCATACTACTATCTGCAGTGCAGACCTCACCTTTTTACACTTAGATATAAATCATTCGACATCGTTTATATTCATTTTTTGTGAATAAAACATTCTAAATTAATACAGAAAATCGCATTTATAATAGGCAAAAAAATCTCTCACAAAAAGGTCATGTTATATTTATAAAAAATATATATTTTGTGTGAGAAATATTTATTAAGATGGATGACTGTAATCACGGAGCTTTTTACCATACATGTTAAACACACATATCATAGGATCAGAGGGGGGCAGAGGGGGTTAATAAGGGAGATTAGGGGCTCACAGGGTGACTAGGGGAATTCGGAGGGAAAGGGGAATGGGAAGAAGGGGTAAAGAGAAGGAGAAAGGAGACGGATTGGGAAATAACTGCGCTGGAGAAATGAGTAAAAAAAAGCTAAAATGAAGCATGAAGAATCGGAAACGAGTAAAAAAAAAGTTTGATACGAGGGTAAGGAGATAATTGGAGGTAAGGAAAGAAAAAAGGAATGTAAGGAAAGAAAAAATGGAAAGTGAGGACAGAAAAAATGGAAAGTGAGGAAAGAAAGATTAGGAAGTAAAGGAATACGGAAATAAATAAAAGAAAATAAGGAAATAAATAATAGGAAGTGAGGAAAGATGTTTAGGAGAAGAAGTGAGGAAAGATGGTTAAGGGAAGAAGTGAGGAAAGTATGAGATAAAGTAAACATGAGTTTAATATCCCGCCCCGAAGGCAAACTGGGCATATAAAACAGGCATATAAAACTAGAAGGGAATATCTTCATTGGGATATATTCTACAGTAAAGGGGAATATCCTACAGATAGGGGAATATCCTACAGTATAGGGGAATATCCTACAGTATAGTGGAATATCCTACAGTATAGGGGAATATCCTACAGTAAAGGGGAATATCCTACAGTATAGGGGAATATCCTACAGTATAGGGGAATATCCTACAGTATAGGAGAATTTCCTACAATATAGGGGAATATCCTACAATATAGTGGAAAATCCTACAGTATAGGGGAATATCCTACAGTATAAGGGGAATATCCTACAGTATAAGGGGAATATCCTACTCTATAGAGGTACATCCTACGGTATTGGGGAATATCCTACAGTATATGGGGAATATCCTACACTATAGAGTATTATCCTATAACAGTATATGGGTAATATCCTACATTATAGGGGAATAGGGGGTGTGTGCAAGCAGCTATGCAATTTCTCAAAATGAATGCAAAAAACTGTTCTAAAAAACATTATATTCATAATACTTCACCTACCATTATAAGTAAGGGGAGGGGAAAGGTAAATTATTGGCAAGTAGAAAATATATCTGCCCCTTCTCCCGTCTTAAGTTCTCAGCACATAGAATTGTAGGAAGGGTGTTTAAATAAAAAGTTAAGCCTTTTTATGTGTGAATAAGATTCAAGCTTGGAGAACGTAAAATGCATGTTTGCTATTTTAGGCTTTATTATCATTTCAATAGAAGAGGATGAATGGTCTACCGTCCCGTTTTGCCGACTATTTGGTCTTAATGTTTCCTCTGCCTGAATGTCAGTCCGGTAAAACTTAATTCAAATAAACCGAGGTTTTCAGTGAGGGTCCTATACAATTCCAACTCACTTTTTTTAGGACACCCTATATATATGTTTTATATATATATGTATTGGCAAGGAAGAGTAAGCCTGTAATCTCCTGAGCAGTTGCTTTAATAGAAACAATTAGAAGAACAATTAAACAGTATAGACAGAAGGGGGGTGGGGAATAGCATACGCAAATGTAAAGACCTCATATTAAAGGAAACGTATTATAGGACTATATGTCGATTTTACAATAACCTACGTAGAAAAAGTATATGTAGATAGATATAAGGAAAGAGATAAAAAGGATAAATCTTTTCATGTCAAAATAATCATTTATATATTAATCAGAAAAGAAACCTCACATTTGGATCAATATTGTTTTCCAATGAAAGAAACATATTTTTAGAAAAAAAAACTCTGCAAAAAACAGATGCGTATACATCGGAGATGGAGGTGTGTGCGGGTTACCCCCCCCCCCC